AATGAATACGTTGTAAAAAGATATAATTTCAGTTGTTAGCGAAGATTATGATAAAAAAATTACGTTGAAAACAAGTGGGAGTAAAATCATAACCCAAATTAATGTGAAAAATTCAAAAATGTAGGAAAGTTTTTATTATACTTAGTAAATAGTGGATAATACTACGTTTATTTATTTCGTCTTCAAATATTACATAAACGTATTGTATTGATATTAATCATTATTTTTTTAAATTATCAAAAACCATAAATAAATATAAATTATACATAAGTACGTTAAACTGCATAGTAAAAATTTGTACTGAACGCATTATTTCTTTAATAAAAGATAACATTTTTCTACAAAAGGAAGATTTTAACCAAGATTCAAACAATTTATATAATTATATTTTAATTCATCATCTGAAGACGTGAAAATTTTACATAACGAGTGACGATGACGTCCTTGAAATGGTTATGTTAATAATATAGACACCGAGTGGTAGATAATCGATTTAATAGTTTTAATAAATGTATAATATTTATACTTTAAATAACTAAAATGTTATTACTTTGACCTTAAGTAAATTTCATGCATTAACATTAACTTTTTCAAAGCATATACTATGTTGATTCAAAATATACATGAAATGAAAGAAAATGTCTCAAAAAAAAAAAAAAAAAAAAATTAAAAGATTTAGCTTTTAAATTTATATAAAATATAAATTGATTTATTTATAGAGTATAAAGTAAGAATGTTTCAGGAAATAATTAAAATGCAGTTAAAATATTAAATATTGGCTTGTTGATAATATAATTACTAATTTGAAAATGAGGATTTTGTTTTGTTTTAAACAATTATAACAAATTTTAATAAGAGATAGAAAATATTTTTAATTTTCTAAATCTTGGAGAACATTTAGAAAACTTATATAGAAAATGAAAAATTGTACTGATAATTTGAATAGGTTAGGTTTATAACTGTGGTATTTTAGAATGGTGTCTTTTATGAGTGAAGTAGTATGAAAATATTCCTGGTATAGAGATAAAAAATAGATTTATTTATAGTATTTTTAGAGGTACTTTGACAGTAAGTATTTTCGCAGAAACTATAATATTATCGAATGACAAAGTATGAGAAGACATCAGCAGATATTGAATATTTCTTTAGAACCATTTTAAATTCTTCTTATGATTATCGTATTTTACTCATTTAATATAAAGCACGATTTTTCAATTGGATTTTTGCAATTTTTATATATAAATAAGACAGAACATATCATATATTCACACTTAACAACTCCAAAAGTACAGAAAGACTTTTAAATTATACGAAGTGGAATATTATCTAGAGTAATTAAATAAAGTAAATTATAGATTAAAGACGATTAGAAATTAAAATAAATAAATTCTTACATATTATATCCGATCAACTATAAAAGCAAGTCACACGTCAAATATGTGAATAGAATTAATCTAAATCTCTTTAACAATAAAATACTTTACTCTAATTTATTTATGAAATGGTAAAGTTATGTACATGGGAAATAGTAAATATTGACATCCGAGAATACATTTTATAATCTTACTATTCAGTTATGTTATAAAGCTTTTACTAAAATAAACAAATATATTGCTACATTAATCATAGAAGAGATCGCTTACACAAATATTTGTTAAAAATCTATAACAAAAAACTTACCATTGCCAAGAAAAAATGAAACTATTTATCTTGTATAAACCGCATTTATAAACCCATAAGAATTGCAAATACATGTATAGATAAGTACGGTAAGATAACTAAAATTTAATTTAAGAAGTATAATCTTTAAAATTAAATTGATAGTTATTTGAACCTTTTAAATAAAAGTGATTTGTTTTGTGAACCTACAAGGAGAATATTGTGAATGGAAAAATGAATAGTATCAGTAGTTACTCAGCCTATTAATAGATTAAATATACTATTTAATATATTATATAAAAATATTTTAATTTATGGCCTATTATAATTATTTATATATATATACAGTATATATACAGTGGATGTGATCATAGTCATAGTGCCGCTTGGATTGGAACATATTCAATTAAATCACCACGCGTATTTATGAATAATTCAGTATTTAAATTTAAAATCATATGTGTTTTTTGTTTAGTAATAATGTAAGTACAAATTGTATATTTTCTATTTTTTTATTAAGTTAATTTTATAATTAAACTATTAAGTTTCAATTAAGTAAATTAACACTGTTATTTATACTGTCAACCAAAAATATTATTAGTTGACATTGCATAATAACTTATGAATTACTACCATATAAATATTATTTAGTAACAACAATAATAAGAACAATATAAGTACTAATAATGATACTAATAAAACATTAAGCTAGATCGTAACAAATAACAATGATCCATGTTTTAAATAATATCATCAGTAGAAGAAAAAAATCAACTAAGATCACAATGTTATACATTAGAATTAGTTCTTTCGAAACATCAAACCGATTTGGATGTATTATATAGCTGTGAATTTTAACCATATGAAGGTCACATATAAATTATATAATTTTAAGAGAATGTCGACAGAATCATAATTTGTTGTCAAACTAATGTAAATGTTCAGTACATTTTAAAATGCTATGCATTTTAAATGGCAAAATATGAACTTGCTTCAAAATGAAAATATCGAAAGTCACCCTAAATAATATTTTTATATTTAATGATAATCAATTCACTCTAATATTAAAAATAATAAGTTAAAATGGGTTATACTGAACGTAAAATGCACTATGTTAGTAAAACGGAGTCATAAATAAAGTTTTCTTTAGAGGAAATTTATCCCTGGATTATTTTGAAGTCTCGAAATATAGCAGAAATTGATAAATAATGTTCAATGATTACATTACAATATTCGTGTTATGGTAGCAGGTCCGGATTAAAATTTTCATAGGCCCTAGACACAGATGGTTAAGAAACCTTCTCTCTGAGAGAAAAAATGTTGAATTTCACTGTTAAGCCTTTTAAAACAAAAATATTTTTAACATATAAATCAAATCTAAACTTTTATATCATAATAATAAATAAATAAAAAAGAATATGACAAAAAAATTGTAGCTACACATTTTCATAGGCCCTAGGCACAGTGCCTGCGGTGCCTAATGGCTAATATGGCCCTGTAATCTGTATAGTAAATATAATCTATATTTGCTATCTCAAAATGATTGTTTAATTTATTAATATTTTCTTTTTTTATTAATTTTATAAATAAATTATAAAATATATTTTAGGTACTTATTTTTACTCTAATCGAACGGGAAAATTGCAATTATACAGAAGTATAATGCATTTTATACTTTAACATATTATGCGGTAACATTCATTAAAATCATTTTTTATAATGTTCACCATAACTGATTTAAATTAAACAAACGATAGAATAGTTACAGTTGAATTGTTTTAAAATCACGAATATTATGTTGACTCATTAAAAGCAAATTAATAAAATCATTGATATTTGATTTAAATATCTGATTGTTTATTGTTTATTTTACATTTATATTGTATTAACTATTTTAATTTCTGTAGATAATATTTTTATATTTTAATTTGTTCATGTGATTATGCTGTAAAAATAATAACAATTTATCATAAAATCTTAATTATATATCATTGATAATTTATACTATGATACACTGGTTTATTCATTTAAAATATAAAATTAATATTTATGACCTACAGACACTTATGAAAGTATTAGTCTCAAGTTCTAATCGGGTTAATACATATACGTTATTACAATATGTATAATACCAAAAAGTAAAAATAAAAACAAAATAATACTCACACATACTGCTATTATATTCAAGTGGTAATGAGTTATGTGAATAAAACAATTTTGTAAACATATTTCTTATTTAGACTCCCATAATGACAAAGGTCAGTATCATAAAATAAAACGGGTAATGAAAATTGTTTTTTCATTGTTTTTCATGTAATATTGCAATCAATTTTGTACGGTTTAATACTCGGTTATATGATTATTATGATTATAATATTAATAAGTTTTGCGAAATTATTTTAGAAAAATGTGTCACTGTAACCTGTAGATTTGATAAAAAAGCAAATATATATTTTATCAATTATTTTCTTTTAATAACTGCGCTTTACAAAAAATATTCATTGTTTTTAAAATCATTCTCTAATTATTATAATAAAGTTAATATTGCGCTTTCATTTACGTTCTAAAAAGAGAATTCTCAGAATACGGACCAAGCTGTGCAAACTAAATATTTTCCCACGGTCTCAGCTTTTGAACTTGACTACTTATTTTCAGAAATTATTTAACTTTATATTAAAAAAAAGACATATATTTTAACAAAGTATAAGTTAAAAAATGAGTTAAAATTTATTATTAAACCAAAAAAAAAAAAAAACCATAAATGATTGTGCTGTAAATTCATCAATGATTATTGTAGATATTAAGTATACCATCATAATGAAATACTACTGAAATACTATTGACTATAATACGTTTTTTTCCCTTTTTTTTCTATGAATTTTAATTTTAAGTCTATGTAGTTTTAACAGTTTTAAAAATTACCATTTTTAATTGGTTGATCATCTTACTGCTTGCAATTTTTTTTTCTTTTTAATAATAATGATATTAACTAATAAGACAATTCAATTTTGATAATACTTCAAAAACTCTAGTTTAAAAATCGTTTGTTATAAATTAAATTTTGTATAACCCACGGTTGTTCATCAAAAGTATGCTTTTTGAGATTTTATTTTTGATAACAATATTTTTTCTGACCAAAATGCTCACAAATATAACACAATATAATAAAGAATAAAAGAATTATCAAGAAATAAATCTTCTTAGTATGTAACGAATGATTTATAAAATAATTGGTCGTTGAAACTTCACTTCGCCAGCAGAGGCAAATATAATTTTGTTTAAGATTTCTAGTTTTTAGAATTGATTACATAATGAGTAAAATAAGAAGAGAGAAAACTTACCAATTACATTTTATTAAAACATGTATCGAGTGCACAGTGGTTTGCTAGGATTCAAATTAATCTGAAACACAAAGAAAAGCGAAACGTCAATTTTGTCGTCGTATATAATATACACAACAGTAAGGGCGTAAGTGGTACAGCATTGGTGTAACTTAAAATATTATTTATTGGGCATGGCATTTATAAATTATCGAATACAAAAGTGTATACGTGTTTAATAACATTTTAGAGTTCAACTTTGTCCGTATGAGACAATTTTTACCAAGACAATAGTGCGTATGAACAAATATCTAAATATACTCATAAACAATATAAACATAATACATATACGGTATACATCATATTATATAGTATATACGATCATAATATACTGATTATTCAGCGTAATATAATTTAGAGGAACATATACATATTTATTGATACAGTTTGGTTGTACTAATACAAAATAGAATACAGCAAGTTATTTTACCGCTCACTTTTACTTTTTGTCCATTACTCATTTATTAATTTAGTTTTTTCTCGAAAAACTGATAATTATTTCGTAGTTCACTATAAATTTTAATTTTGAAATAATTGAATATTTGACAAAAAATAACTATTTTAGTTACTTTGATGCAATAAAAAAAAAATTAAAAAAAATTGTAACTTTTTGCAATTACATAATTATGTATTGTTTTGTACACACAATAAAATTTAACTACGGATCAAAAATCTTAAAAAATTATACCAGTTAGGTATATGCGTATGCTATAATATTAAGTATAATAATATTTATGTTTTTGTATATATTTTTTTTTTTTTTTGTTTTAGTTTAACGACGGGGCAGCTGCAATAATGTACAAACATAAGTTATGTGATTAGATTAGTAATTACTGATTAATATTGTCACACTATTTTTTACTGGTATACTACAGGTGCACGTTGTTGGATGACTAATATTTAGTATTTCACGAGTAATGTTGTATTTTGTTCGTTCGATAAAATGTCTACATGTTGGGGGTTTCTTGAGCCATCAGCGGCAATAGAAAAGGGCATCGGCCAAACAAAGTAGTAGGTGGGAATTAGGTTGCGTGTGATTTATACCCTGTATTTTATAAAAATAAATCTAGTATATTTTTATTTAAAAAAAAAATTAAACAAATAAAGTTAAATATGCACAAATACAAATATATTATATACATACCTATTACCTACTGTTTAACAAAAGACTGCTAAGATATATAATCATAAAAAGTAAACAGTTTTGAATTTAGTTTTAAACTACGTTAAAATAAAAACCAAAAAAATAAATGCGTTGTTCTATTTTCTTTTCCTCTTTGTAATAATTAAAACAAGGCAACTATATATTATAATTTATAATTATCAGTTTTTATTTTCACATCGAATTTATGAAAATAATTTTTCATTGTAAATATATACCTGCAAAACCTATATAATAGAAATTTAAATGCAAATATAAGGAGATTAAAATAAAAATATTATTCCGGATGGAGAGTTCAAAAATACATGCCAGGTAATTCAGTAAAAATAAGCATACTTCAATAATGAATTTATTTATTTACATATTGTTTTCTTTGAAATTTATTAGTATACTTAGCAGTGTCCAAAGATGAAGATTTTTAGTTATTTAACTTTGTATATTATTAAGAATAATGGGTCCATATGATAGTGATTTTTAAAGTCATTTGCTGAACAATGCATCCAAAGTAAAAAGGATTGGTTCTCGTTTGAAAAACAGAAGTTTGTATCACCATAATACCTACCAATGATATAAATATCTAAAAAAAATTCAAAATATAGTTCTTAAGTATATTTAAAAAGTTTAAATCTCGAAATATAAAGGAATTCAACATTATTGGGAAAATGGAAATAACTAATAAGAGCATGCTTGGTTAATCACTCAGTATTCATGCTATTATACAAGTTAATTGGAAAATATCTACAGTAAATCAATTGTCTTAACAATTTAATTTTTAAACGAATTATTTTAGTTAGTTCTAATTTTAATGTCATACACGCGTGATAGTTAATGTCATTTGTTTTAAAATTAATACAACAAATTAATAACTTATAATAACTGTTAATTATATTACAAACGATATAATTTTTAATTTTATACATTAAACATAGAAACGTATATATTCATAATACACATATTCTACACTGTATTTTTATAACTTAATTAATACAATATATTTTATTAATCCTTGATTATAATCAATTTTTGTATGTGTGAAATTGTTTTTTATTCAGATTTAAAAATATATTTTCATTGAATAGAATATAATATAATGCATTTTCAGTAGGTTCATAATTCGTATGCAAGTAAAAAAAAAAAATATGTACAGATACAGAGTGAAAGATATCGTAGTCTTAGCCTCTTAGGTATGATTTGTACAATTATCATTCGCTGTGTAGTACATTAATCAGTAATAATGTTTCCTCGAGCGTTCCTCCGCTGATGTTGGCGAAAACGGCAACATCAGATAACGATAACGTCTTATAGAATATTTTACGATGATCTATCATATTTTTTTTAACACATTTTTTTATGCGAACATAAAAAAAAACTATACGATCAGAATATAATATATCCTACACCAATAATGTACACACGGATGTATCCGTAATAATATATTTTCTATAAGGTCCGAAATTCAAGAAAGACTTTTTTGCTTACGCTGAAACATTACACACTACAATATATAATTCTCTCAACGCACAGAGAGGTAAAATAAAAATATTACATGAAGGCACTCTACATTTATCAATACATACTGATGTATAGAAAAAAAATATGAGTATCTTTTTTTTATTAATAATTTTGTCAATTACAATTATTTTTCCCATTACTCGCTATCTACACGCACGGCATGTTATTATATTATTAAAATATTTTACCCTTTCAAACCAAATAAACTTTATTTTTACATGTTGTCCTAATCAGCCGATCCAATTAATTTTAAATTGGTGAAAAATCATAACTAACAATGTAACACAACAAATAAATCACATCGCAGTACATTTATTGTGTTCTCTAACACTTATTTAATGAGTTTAACGCCTACGACTGGCGACTGCTATGTGATTATAAAAAATATAACAAACAAAAATAATATAGTATTATATTAAGTTGCCTATAGAAACGATACACCAATACTATTAAATTAGTATTTGAAAATTCAAAACACAATTGATAAATCTTCTGTATATGCAATGATTCGAGGGCAGGAAATCACAAAAATATTTTTATTGATTTTTAAGTTAAAATACTTATTTGAAGTCCGAGATATTTAAGATTTATAAAGGTTGTAAAGTTGGATGAAAAAAATATAAATAAATTTATTCTATGGGTAGTTAAAGGGGAATCAATCAATAGGTTACAAAATATTTGTTTAGCAAGATAAAATGTATGGTATGCGTAAAAAATGTATTGTAATTCTTCAGATTATTATATTGTTATAGTGTTTAATTGAATGTTCCTATAAAATTAAATAAGTTGGTAACATAAGATGAGTCTTGAAATAAAAATATAATTATTATTATTATATATACGATCGTTATTTGAATGGGTGTTTATAGGCTTTAGGGCAAAAGTGACATTTACTTATGGTGTGTTTTTTTTATTTACTAATTTTCATAACAAATTTTGTGCTAAAAGATGTGTTAGTAAACTTTCATATAAATTTCCACGAAAAAAAAAAACATCACACAATTACATTTGTAATTAATTTGTAGTTGCTAATTACAATATTTCTTCACAAGTTACCCGTGCTTTGACCTACTTAAAAAGAGTTAAATAACAGAGTTTTAAGTTATAACTTACTTTTACTTAAAATAATTGAACAGTATTCAACTTCTTTAAATATTATTTTAATACTTAATATATTATGTATGGCGTCGTATTAGCCTAAAAAATAATATTTTTCATAATCCATAAATGTGCAAGTAATTTATTCTTCATAATACCAAAAAAAGTAATATGATGTACCTAAGTGTTTTTTTTCAAAATATAAGGATATAAATATTAATAGAAAAATATTAAAAGAAAAATTTCTGTGTTTTACACTATTCATAAAAGACGAAATATATATAATGTGCAATATTTATACATGCTATCATATAGAGTAACTAGCTACCCATTTACTTGCAAAGTTGTTTTGATTGAGTATCATGCGTATAATATACAACATGCTAAGTATGGAGACATATCATAAACAATTTTTGCGCTTAGTTGCAAATTAAAGATAATAATTTATATATTTTTTCAACAAAATAAATAGAGTTAAAGCTTATGTATCTATCAATAAAAAAAATTGTTTATGAAAAAAGAACTAAAAGAAAAAATTGGCTAATTAAATAGCTTTATTTCTGCATGGTGTGTCAAAACAATTCAATGTAAAATCAATTAGTTATGTTCCAAAGCATCGAAAGACTTATATTTATAAAATATATATAATGATATTTTTCGTCACAATACACGATAACAATTATGAATATATTAAACGATGGAACAGATTTGATACTATGAGCACTATACGTAGATTGAACATAAATATAAACGTATAAAAATCCCAACGTATAAACGGCAATAAACGATATTATCAAAGTCTGACGGCTGTCAGTTACTTGGTATTGGTATTAGTAGTATTTTATCATATTTCAATAAACTATAAACATTAAATATGAATCAGTGGATTTGGTGACCCAGGTCAAAAATGATTATTCTCACACTATTATAGCGAGATTGAAACGACTCGGGACAGAGCGTTATAATAACACTGAAGCTATACATAAACAAAAACCCTGTTGTACTGTTAGCTTTATGATTTTACGAAATTCTAAAAAAGAAAAATGTTTTAGAAGGCAAGAGAAAACCGCAAAAAATCACAGATTCAAAATAATAGCAAAAGCTACGGAACAGATGACGATCTTGGTGGAAGTGAGGAGATCAACCATCGTTGATTTTTTGACGTGAGATTCAAAGGCGTATACGATTGTATTGTTTTAAAACACTTAAATTCTGAATAACACGCGGTATTTTGTATAATACATATTTAT